GTCTTCATAGGAACCATTATCAGTAGGGTGAAAACTCCGCCTACAGAAGCCTGTCCATTGTCCCCAGAGGCAGGAAGCAGGCCCACGCCCCCTATGGTGGGATGAGACAGCAGTCTGGCAACTGATTCCCCTCAGGGGAGGGAATGCCTGCCCATCAGACCTCCCCCCACAAGTAGCAATGTCCTAGTTTGTTTCAAATTCTCAGTGCCGCTCCTTTCAGTGCCAGGGTGAAACATGCCAATTGCTTTGCTGTCTGTTTCTTCATGGAGGATGTATTTCCTCTTGATCCTTGCTCTAAAAGCATAAAGCATGGTATTCCATATTTATGCAGGTATCTTATTAGACTCCATGTCTTGGGTATTGTCAATCTCTTCTTATTGTTGTTTGTTACCATGGGGTTGATTCTCACTCACGGTGACCCCCTGGTACAGAGTAGAGCGCTATTCCTGAGTTTTAAGGCAGAGACCTTTTGAAAGCAGAACTCCAGGCCTGTCTTCTGAGGAACCTCTGGGTAAGTTCAAACTGCCAACTTTTCCACTAATAGTCCAGTAGTTAAGCATCTGAGGCACCCAAGCACTATGCATTCTTTAGTGGTATATAAAGTATTCAGTAAGAGTAGCTTATTCTGATCCTAGAGGGGATGTGGTGGTGTACTGGCGTACACATTGAGATGCTAAACTCAAGGTCAGCAGTTAGAATGGATAAGTTGCCCTACCATAGAAAGATGAGGCTGTCTACTCTGGTAAAGATTTAAACTCTCAGAAACGCAAAGGGGTCGTTCTATACTGTCCTATGTGGTCACTCTTGAGTTGGTCAACTGGATGGCAGTGGATAGGTGGGTATTTCTAGTCATGTGCTCAGGAAAAATACTAATAATATGGAAGTGAGACTATTGAAGGACAATCAAAATCTGTTCTGAATCTCTAGCATGTAAGTGGCGCATGTTTGATGAACACATTTCCTATGTAGAAACCTGGGTTCATTTCATACCTTTGGACTGAAAAAAAAAAAATGAGCCTTCAGAAAACAGAACTTGATTTGACCCCAGAATCAAGTCACACTCTTTTTGTGTCCAATTTAGGGGATTCCTCTTCCAAGGAGCCTTGGTGGCACATGGTAGGTTAAGCATTGGGCTTTTAACCGCAAGGTGATCAGTTCAAGCCCCCCAGCCCCTTTGTGAGAGAGATAAGGCTGTCTGCTCCCTTAATGACTCAGTCTTATGAACCCCATGGGTCATTTATATTTTGTGCTAGAAGGTTGTGACTCGGTGGCAGTGAGTGGATGTCGCGCTGTGTATAATACATGTACCTCAAAAAGAATCTCTCTCTATACACAGATATATGTATGTCATTAAACATAATTACCAAAGAGTAAGAATAGGAAAGCACTGTTGATGGTTCATCGGAAGAATTACACAAGATGATTTAAAGCCGGGAAAGAAACTAAAAGCCGAGAAAGGAGGCTCCATGTTTTCATGTGGAACTTACGAAGGGAGAGATGGAGTTGGCAGAAGTGAGTTGGAAATACATATTGTTTACACGAGAGGGATTCAAAAGATTTATGGAAAACATTCTATTAGTTTTTAATTCCATTTTCCATCAATTGGGAGCCACATCACATATTGGAAAGAAGTTGAAGTCCTACCAAACTTTAGAGACTGGGGCTAGAAATAAAGCCTCATTATCATTTCCCTCTGAATGATCTTCTATCTCCCTGAACTTTCTGTAGAAGGCAGCGAGCACAAAACAAGACTGTCAGAAACCGTGTGACCCTTGTTGTAAAGGGAGCAATTCTGTATTATGGCTTGCTTAATAAGCAGAACCATGCTTTCTATACTCATCATAGTATCATTTGAATCTTTCTTGAACAGCTGCTCATCCAATTATGCATTACAAAGCAAAAGTAATGATCCCTTAATTACACAGCAAAGAATAGTTTTCGCTCCAGGGAAATAAACATCACCTCTCCTTAAAGTTCACTAAAAACCTGTCAAGCCCAGGTACGTTCAAATATATCATTGCTTTTCAAAATGGAACATAAAAACAAAATAAAATCTAGCACCAAGCTAATTTATGCTTTTCAAAATGGACTGTTTCCTCAATAAAACGTTTTTTAGCCTTAGGTTAATCATTAACTTTCTTACAAATTGTTCCAAGTCCCCACATATCTCAAAAAGCCAGGAAACATTTATATGGCAAGCCATTATTCAAGAAAGGGAAAAGCAACCCCTTCTTTCTGGAATGGCTGCAAGGCCCAGCTTGAAAGCTCCCAAAGCCAACCACTGCAGTTGATTCCTACTCACACTGACCCTGCAGCAAAGTAGAACTGCCTCTTTGGGTTCCCAAGACTTTAGATCTTTAAGGAAGCAGACTGCCTCATCTTTCACCCATGGAGTAGCTGGTAACTTTGAACCACTGCCCTTTCTGTTTAATATCAAGCCCTTTATCACTGCACTACCAGGATAAAGATAGTAATAGACACCACTCATTGAGCACATCATTTATCCATTTATGTGCTTATTAACCCCTACAATGTGCCAGGTCATGTACTTTACACATGGAATTTAGAGATAAATGACAGGCAGACCTGGGGTCTAGAAGGCTGCAATCTATGACACATAAAACAAACAAAGCCAACTCTACAGCAAAGAGTGGTTTTCAGTTTTCAGGCAGCGACAGGAACACAAAGAAGGGACATTCCGTTTTCCAGAGGGTGAGGAATCCCTTCCCGGAGGTGAAGTGACCTCATTGGCTGTGATGAAAGATGGGTGGAGTGGGAGAGAGAACAAGGAGGCCTTCCAGAAGCAATTTCCGGGCAGAGGGAACAACGGACCACAGACAGCAGATGGGAGAAAAAATGAGGCTCCAGCAAACTGCTTGTGATACACTGAGTTTTTATGGACTAACTTAGGTCTTGAAATGCCACCGAAGACTGTCCACCAGAGGTGACTCCGTTGGTGTTTGAAATACCAGGTGCATAACTTCCAGTATCATAGTAACCAACAAGCCCCCATTATATAGTAAAGGGATAGATGGGTGGTAGTAAAGATTACACCTGAACATGAAGATAACAAAAACCTGCACAACGGAACTGATAAACTGTGAAAATTCCATTTCATTTTACTTGGATCCACAATCAGCTTCCAGGGGAGCAAGTGTCAAGAAATGACATGATGTATTGCAATCGGCAAATCTACTGCAGAAGACCTCTTACATTTTTTTAAAGCAAAATTGCACTCGGCTAAAAAAGCAATGCCTGACCCAAGTTATTGTCTTATGGATGGCTTCCTCTATGTGCAAAAGTTGGCCCGTATAAAAGGAAGACAGAAAACCTGATGCTGTAGAACTGAGGTATTGGTGAAGAATTAATACATTGTGGGCTGCCAAACAAATGGACAAATACGTGTTAGAAGAAATAAAACTACCATATTCCTTAATAGCAGGGATAGAGAGACTTCAGTATGCTAACTTTGGGCATATCAGCAGAACTAATCAATTGCTAGAATAACACGTCTTGCTTGGTGAAGCAGGGGACCAGGGAAACAAGGAAAACCCTCAGTGAGATTGACACAATGGCTGCAACACTGGACTCAGACGTACCAAAGACCATGAAGATGGTATATACGCAGCATTTCATTCTGTTCTGTCATGAGTCAGAGATGGCTGGTTGGCAACTCATACCAAAATTCAGAATGCTTCCTGCTCTGTAGTGTGGCTTGCGTGCCACACCAGTGTTTGGAGTGCGTCACAGGGTGTGGGAGTTAGCTGGCACCATCTTCCACGAGTTGACTGTTAAATTTTCAGGAATCTGTGACCTACTTGGCATCACAGCTGCAGCTTGAAATAAACCATGGTGGGAGGATTTCCGCCCTCACCCTCACCTAAAAACCCTCTTTCTTCTACAGTCATTCTGCAGAGTTGGGAGCTTTCGAAGTTTTCAATTTTAATAATGGAGATATAATGGAAGCACTGCTTATGGGTAATGTGTTCTTAAAAATGCAGAAGATGGTGCAGAGCAGGGAAAAACTGGCACACTGAGAAATTACTTGGGAGGCCAGAGTTTCACACACTGAGAAGGGTTTGATAGAAGGACTGAAAGAAACAGATGTGCCCAAAAGTCCGACTAGAGGTTGGAAAGAAGTTGAAGTCCTACCAAACTTTAGAGACTGGGGCTAGAAATAAAGCCTCATTATCATTTCCCTCTGAATGATCTTCTATCTCCCTGAACTTTCTGTAGAAGGCAGCGAGCACAAAACAAGACTGTCAGAAACCGTGTGACCCTTGTTGTAAAGGGAGCAATTCTGTATTATGGCTTGCTTAATAAGCAGAACCATGCTTTCTATACTCATCATAGTATCATTTGAATCTTTCTTGAACAGCTGCTCATCCAATTATGCATTACAAAGCAAAAGTAATGATCCCTTAATTACACAGCAAAGAATAGTTTTCGCTCCAGGGAAATAAACATCACCTCTCCTTAAAGTTCACTAAAAACCTGTCAAGCCCAGGTACGTTCAAATATATCATTGCTTTTCAAAATGGAACATAAAAACAAAATAAAATCTAGCACCAAGCTAATTTATGCTTTTCAAAATGGACTGTTTCCTCAATAAAACGTTTTTTAGCCTTAGGTTAATCATTAACTTTCTTACAAATTGTTCCAAGTCCCCACATATCTCAAAAAGCCAGGAAACATTTATATGGCAAGCCATTATTCAAGAAAGGGAAAAGCAACCCCTTCTTTCTGGAATGGCTGCAAGGCCCAGCTTGAAAGCTCCCAAAGCCAACCACTGCAGTTGATTCCTACTCACACTGACCCTGCAGCAAAGTAGAACTGCCTCTTTGGGTTCCCAAGACTTTAGATCTTTAAGGAAGCAGACTGCCTCATCTTTCACCCATGGAGTAGCTGGTAACTTTGAACCACTGCCCTTTCTGTTTAATATCAAGCCCTTTATCACTGCACTACCAGGATAAAGATAGTAATAGACACCACTCATTGAGCACATCATTTATCCATTTATGTGCTTATTAACCCCTACAATGTGCCAGGTCATGTACTTTACACATGGAATTTAGAGATAAATGACAGGCAGACCTGGGGTCTAGAAGGCTGCAATCTATGACACATAAAACAAACAAAGCCAACTCTACAGCAAAGAGTGGTTTTCAGTTTTCAG